GGGGGACAGGATCAAAGCCCAAGGTGGGTCAGATCCAGCTCGCTGAGAGGCTTTTGCCCACCCTGATGTAAGACCTCCCAGTTGATCTAACATGGTATCCTGCCATACTTCCTATCTTTCTTACCTCGTGGAATAGTTTGGTTTTGAGCCCTTAATAATGTCCCTTTAAAAAACTGCCAACTCTCTTCATAGTATGTCTCCTAATCCATTTTACCCACATTCTGCCATAACTTTCATGTTATAGCAGTCTGACATAATGGTTGGCTCATATCTGTTTTAAGAACACTTTCACTGCAGATTTTACAAAATGCAAAGAGGGTACCAATATGAGAATTCTGAAGATAGCTACAGCATTCGACCCAAGCTTTAAAGAATCTGAAGTGCTTTCCAGAACCAGAAAGGAACAAACTGTGAAGCATGCTTTCAGAAATTTTAAAAGAGCAAAATTCCTATGTGGAAACTCCAGAACCCAAACCACCAAAAAGAAAGCCAACGTTCCGCTGGTGGGATCTGAATCAGAGGATCAAAGTTAACATGCGTCCGTCTGCACTATTCTGATTCATTATCTAGCAGAACCCATCATCAGCACGAATGCATGTCCTCTGGAATGGTGGATGAACCATGAAGAGACGTGTATTTTTGCAAACCTAGATGTGATATCTTGCAATGTTGGCTAAAACAGTACCATGAGAACGCTTGTTCTCACTTTCAGGTGACACTGTAAACACAAATTTTTATTTTTCAATTTATTTTTACCATCTTCAACTTTCATGATAAACAGATTGCACTACAGTGCTTGTATGAGGTAAATGAAAAATACTATTTCTTTTACTTTTTACAGCACAAATATTTATTAATCAAAATAAATTGAGCACTATATCCTTCGTTGTGATTGAAATCAATATATATGAAATTAAACATACATCAAAAATATTTAAATAAATTATATTCTATTATTTAACTGTGTGCTTAACCACATTTTTAAATGACTTCATAGATTTATTTTGAATATATGTATTTTTGTAGGTGTATTTAAATTATTTTTTTAAATGGAAAACATGAAGTTCAGCTTTAGGCAGCGAGGCCCTGAAGATGCTCTGCCTAGAGGTGTGAAAGGTATATATACGGCCCCGCATGAAATTTCTATCCATGGTATAGGTTTTTTTCATTTCCAATTGGAACCTTATTGGACTAAAGTTTCCTTAACATACTGTGCCACTCCCCCTCCAATGGGACCATCTTTATCTTTCCTATTTTTTTTACAGCCTGGTAATACCATATTGCAAAACGCATTCTCCACTAGAATAAAAGCTCAAGTTTGGGGGCATAACTTACTCAAATATCCTTTAAAAAAAAAAAAAAAAGAGGAATATATAACCCCCCACTAATTTGAAGAAAAAGTTGTAATATAGCTAAAGGGATATGTACCTAACTTGTAAACATCTCTTTGCACATAAATTATAGTAAAACTCAAAATTTGCCAAACTTTAGTCAGAAATTATTGGTCTTCTCAAGTAGCATCAGGTACACTCTCTTTAGGAAGAAAATCATGGTTGTGAAAATGTCAAACTAATCTATCCTGCCGTCAGTAGGACCAACCCATTTTCACTCCATTATAGTATCTTTTGTTTCTCTGGCACCTTCAGGTGGTGTTTGTTTTTCACTTACCAATAGCCATGAAGTTAAGATTCTCATGGACAGCTAGGCAAGACACAACTGTTGGTTTGTTACCCGGTATTGCAGGGAAAATCCTTGTGCAAAGAGGATTCCCACCATCTCGTTTCTCTAAGTTCCAGACTTTAACCTGGAAACAAAAGAGAAAGAACATGAGCAGAACTTGGTCTTCAGGTATATTGGGGCCAAAACCTAGTCCCTTTTAAGACCACAAGGCTAGAATTTAGCATACTGTTTTTAGAACAAAGACATTCCCAAACTAATCCCAATACACTGCTCTTCTTAGACAAGATGGGCTCAAGTCCTCTTCGCCATTTGACTTACCAGCGGGTTAGTGCCTTCTTCATCCTCACCAACAGAAGCCAAGATGCTGTGCTGCTTCAGCTGGTACAGGTGAGTAACTCTCAGCTTGTAAGCCTGGAAACTGATAAGCTGAAGGGAACGCGACAAGAACCAAACGTGACCTTCCAAATGTAGATGATAGTCAAGGTACTCAGGGAAAAAAATGAAGCCACACACATCACAACCAAACTCTTTTTAAGCTACTCATATTTTGGACTGCTGGCCAAATATTCTGATGTTAGCTATCGTTCCAGACACTGAGGTGATCACAGACCAACAAAATAGTGAACGTTTTAGAGTACAAATGACTGAGACTTGGAAGAAGAGGGCATTTTTCATTCGTCAAAGGACAACTGAAAAACAAAGCAACAGCTCTGTGCACACCTAACAGATATCTATTAGTTTAGGGCCTGCTGCAAAGGAATAAACACTTTTGACTCCGATAAGAACCCCACAGGCATCTTTCAGAGCCCACCTGTACTGAATTCATAGTGTAGTTCAAGCTCAAGCTGTACACCTTGTTTCAAGTACACAGATGACATTTTTGTCCACTGTAATCTTTCCATGGATGTCACTGGTTAACTGGCCACCTGGCCAGGCTGGAGAAGCCCCCAGCCTGACATGGGAAGAAGGCTGTTCCAGCCAGGCTGGGCCTGCCAATGTGGTGATAGGGGATACTCCAGGGTGGCCAGAGCAGTCCCTCACCTGTGGGATCCTGTTTAAGTGTTTAATCAGTTATCTGATTAAATGGGATTTTACATCCCTAACTCTTTCTAGTCCTTATACCTACAGCAATTCTCAGCTACACAGCACACATTTACAAGCATCTTCATAAGCATCATGCAAAAAAGAAAAAGGACTGGACTTCCTAAAGCCAAGAGACCACATACTAGGTCAACAAACCATATCTTGTGGTTTCAGGGAATGTTTACCAATTCCATACTGGGTCACACCAAAGGTCCATCTAGCCCAGTATCCAGTCTTCCAATAGTAGCCAATGCCAAGTGCCCCCAAGGGAATGTACAGAACAGGTAATCATCAAGTGATCCTTCTTCGTCACCCACTGTCAGCCTCTGACAAATACAGACTACGGAAACCAATCTTCCATCCTGGCTAATAGAGGACATTTAGGAGTAAATTAGAGCTAAATAATGGCACAGAAGACTGAGAGATAGGACTGGTGGCTGTAAACAAACTTTATGGGACCACGGGAAACTTGGCCACCCCCATGAAAAATGGAAATCTGGCTAATTAAAATAATTCTGGGTGACAGAAGTTTCTAGGCCAGAGAGTTTTAGACTAGAGGTTCAACCTGTAGTTCTTTTTTGAAACCTGTTAAAATCCCGGCCTTCACAACATCCTCTGGCAAGGAGTTCAACACGCTGTGTGCTGCAGGAAATACTTTTTGTTTTAAACCTTCTACCTATTTATTTCATTTGGTAACTCCTAGTTTTTGTTATGGGAACAAGTAAATAACTTTTCCTTATTCACTTTCTCCACACCAGTGATGATTTTATAGATCTCTGTCATATCCCGCTCCCTTAAGTCTCTTCTTTTCTAACCTGAAAAGTTCCAGTCTAATTTCTCTTCATATGGCACCCATTCCAAACTCCTGACGATTTTTTTCCCAGTTAACTACGCTTTTTAGAAAAGCATGTTCTGACATGCGTGGGCTCCGTGCATCTCTCTCACTTCCCTTTTCTTTCCTGCTCAGGTCAGGCAAAGCACAGGTGATGGGAACACCAGGGTCTCCCCCTCCAGCCAGCACTGTGCCTCAGCCCCATCTGCAGCCCCTGCCTCTAACAGGAGGGAGGTCGCTCAGCCAGCCCCGAGCCCGCGGGCTGAGACTGAGGGCAGGGGAGGGATTTGGGGCCCGTGGCGGCGAGGCGAAGCGACACGCGTGGCCTTAGCTTGAGCCAGGCTCGGGAGAATCCCCCCGCCCCGGGACAGGCCGGGGGCAGGGCTTCAGCCCCCCGAGCACCAGGCTGCCCCGGCCCGCGTCGCACACGGCGATGCCCGGCGGTAGGGCGAAGGGCTTCCCGGCCCCCTCCGGCCCGCCCGGCTCCGGCTCCGGCTCCCGCTCGCAGAACACGAAGCGGCGCCACCGCCGGGGCGGCGGCCATCTTGGCGGCCGGGTCGGGCTTGGCAGAGATCAGCTGACCGCTCTCCCCGAGCACGTGACTGACTGCGGTCTCGGGTCTGTCACGTGGGGTGCTGCTCAATCGCGGCCCCGGCTGCTGCAAACCGTCTCGCCCTTGTGCCCTGAGAGCCAGCCACGCGGGAGAGTGTGGGAGCAGCCGGGAGTTGCACCGCCTCCACTCACATTGTAATTGCTAATTGGAGTGACCCCTACTTTCTAAAGGGCCTTCCCCGCGCTCCCTAACCCCGAAAGCAGCACGCCCCTGCTCACCAGGGCTGTTCCTGGGAGTAATGTTAAGGTGCACATAGGCTTTGTCTAGACTTTCCGCAAAAGCGATTGCTTTTGCGGAAAAACTTGCCAGCTGTCTACACTGGCCACTTGAATTTCCGCAAGAACACTGATGATGTCATGTAAGATTGTCAGTGTTCTTGCGGAAATGCTATGCTGCTCCCGTTCGGGCAAAAGCCCTTTTCTGGAAATGCTTTTGCGCAAAAGGGCCAGTGTAGACAGCTGAAAACTGTTTTGCCAAAAAAGCCCTGATGGTGAAAATGGGGCTTTCTTGCACAAAACCGCGTCTAGATCGGCACGGACGATTTTCTGCAAAAAGTGCTTTTTGCGGAAAAGCATCCGTGCCAATCTAGACGCTCTTTTCCGCAAATGCTTTTAACGGAAAAACTTTTCAGTTAAAAGCATTTGCGGAAAATCATGCCAGTCTAGACGTAGCCTATGGGTTCAAGCCGAAGCATGGAGATACTCTGCTCTAGGGCAGGTGTATTTGGGCATGCATGTCTGCAACTTAGCTGGCTGGAGCAGGTGTATACTCAGGGCCCTAACAAATGTATAGCTGTGAAAAAGCATGGTCCTAGCCCATGACATTTAGACATCTCCCTGTAAAATCTGATCTTTGGTGCATTTTTAATCTATTTCACACGGGAGACCAGTGTTTCCCCAAAAGGAGTCACAAACATCTTTGTAGATGGTAACTGTAGGAAGGTCACTGTATTATCACCCCTATTTCTGCACTGCCTTCAAAGCTGGGTAGCCAGAGATTGGTGTCTGCTGGCCCCCTGCCCCGCTCTGAGGGCAGTACTGTTACTGATACCATGCAGAAATAAAGATGGAATGGTATTACTGCCCTTACTTTTGTGCTGCCTTCAGAGCGGGACTCTAGACCAGCAAGTGACACTACCTGGCTGCTCAGCTCTGATTGCTGCAGCACAGAAGTAAAGGTAGCAATAGTACACCATTTTTTACTTCTGCATGGTTATTGGTAGCAGGATATCAAAAGAATACAAGAGGAGCACTATTATATAATACTTATAAATGTTCACTTAGGTCATGGTTCAGACATAGTTAGTGCTTCCATGGAGCAGCATTGCTTTTCTGTGTTACTGCAAATGGTGCTTCCAAATAATCGCAGGGCAGGGCCCACCAGAGGACAGTAGAGCCAAATGTTAGAGAGAACTGCTTTAAATGCCTATACCATGGATCCCCGGGGTAGCTTGATGGATCCTGTTAAGACTACAATAATGCAGGCAAGATAACAGTAACAAAAAAGCATGTATTTCACACAAAATATTTTTTTGTTTCAACCTTAAAACCACTTGAGTTTCCCCATCTCTAGAATCTGTGATTACATGAGACAAGGACCTGTTATAAAACAACAGTTTTACTACTGGTAGTTTTTTCTTGCTTTTTTCATTTTGCATATGTTTGCATTCAAATGGATTGTTTATGGCAGACATAACCCGATACCTTTCTGGTCTTGAGATGGAGAATGAAAAGAGGCTTTTTGTTGCTAGTTGTTTTACCCGTGAAACCAGGAATTACATCGCATCTCCCCGTGGCTCGTTAAATACATAGAATCAGTATTCATGAGTTAAGGGTAATCTGTTAGTCTGAATCTGCAAAAGCGAGGAGGAGTCCTGTGGCACCTTATAGACTAACAAATGTATTGGAGCACCAGCTTTCGTGGGCGAAGACCCACTTCTATCACCAATACATCTGTTAGTCTATAAAGTACCACAGGACTCCTCGTCGCTTTTGCGTATTCACGTGTTATGTCTGCATGGAGCCATGGGCATGACAGGCAAGCCACGGAGAGGAGCAACAGGCCTCTTCCTGTGAGCACAGATGCAAAAGTCTTTGGACAGGGACGATCGTTAGTTTCCTTCCGCCGCCTCAGCCGCAGCGGCCTGCAACACAAGCCCCCCAGAATGCACGCGCACCCTATCTCACCGCCCCTGGGGTTGCTATGGGAGGGGCGCGCGCCTGGGCCCGGTGGCCAATGGAGTGGGCGCGTCCCACGTGCGTCCTTCCGGCTTATCCGAACGTG